GAAATTTTCATGCATACTAAATTTAATTTTTTCGCAAGGTTATTCGCATAAAGCAAAAAGTGCAAGCCTCTGTCCTTGAATCTATTAAAAATGCTATTAAGAGAAAAAGAAAATTTCGAGCGAGATCTGTTCCAATTAGGAAGATCCGTCAAACATGCTTACCCGTGCTGCTGCTTGCCTCTTTGTCATCGACAAAAAAACCATTTTTCTTAGCTTTCAGCCCTTTAGATTCATTCGATGATCACTCCAGTGCAACAGAAGTGTATGGATGCGTATTCATCTTCATTGCGTTAAGTTTCGGTCATCTATTGATCGCTTGAATTGTCAATGGTGAATCAGTACGCGCAACCCATTTTTGAACAAAGACCCTTATACAATTGGCGATGCCTCTTTCAGGTAAGATTCAGTCATTTTTTTATGTTGGGCCTAACATTATTGAATTTTTTTATTTTGAGGCTACTCATATTCGAAGAAGATGGTTAATGGTAGCGATTCTGTCAATGATTTGCCTCCATTTCATATTTAGCACCACCTACTTGTCTTGCACAGATGTGAGATACAAGTTCGACATCTTTTTCTGCTACGCTCATTATTTTGAGATCTAATTCATTTTGAAGAAAAAAAAAACGAAATAATGAGCACGTAGATTGACTCGAATATTATTCTTGGAACTGCACTTGATAAAAAAAACTGCAATAAAAACACGAAATTGTACAATTCAAGATTATCTTTCTCAGGAATCACAAGATGTTGGAATCACAAAGTGGAAGATACGCATGAAAGAAGTGTGCGTTCATTTTTATGCTATAAAAGCATTACATCTCTCAATCAGAAAATCAAATGCCCTATTTCAGAGATATACTACGCTCTGACACAATACATTATCCATCTCGTCATCAGGATAAAAGAGTTAAAATAGGAATCCTCACAATAGTAGATGCCAGCACTACGCAAGATGCTCTAAATTATGCTATGAGTAGGTCTTCTTTTAGCTCTATCCTATGAGAACGTGCTTTTTACTTACAGTTCTTTACTTTGGCATTCTGCACTTCGCAAAATTCAATCCTTTGATTTTCTGCCCATAATTTTAACTCGTAAAACATTGAAACTTTGTTTAGAAGTGTTCTTCTATGACAGTCATGTAGCCTTAGATGCACGGAGTATTATAGCCCTTTCTGAATGCTTGAATATTGCCTTTGAGTGTATGTAACATTTAGCCACTATTGCGTGCTATGCAAGAATACAACGCTACGAGTACCGTATAGTAAACGAGTCGCTTTATCACGCCAAGTGTCCACAAAAAAGGGTAAATAAGTTGTTTCTCTAATTTTGCAATTATTTTATCAAATATATATTCACTTCATTGAATTTTCATAATGTTTCTAGCGAGAGTTTCGACGCCACTGTATAGTCAAATTATTTTTGATGAATTATGATTATATTCTCTTCATTGTTCCTGATATTGGAGTAGTGAATCCGAGAAGGTACTGATTTTTAGCCAATTTCAAAATATTGCTACGAGTTGAAGCTGCATAGCTACGTGATTTATATAGTTTGCAGACGTATCGAAAAATTTATTGATGCTGAATCTGATATCGTTATGTATGAACGATTTCATCCCATTGAACTCATGGTTGATTCATATCTTGTAAAGAATTCAAGATGGGCACGTGATTTTCTTGAACGTAAGCGTCACATGAAGATTGGTCAGGAAAGCAAGGGCGCTGATTTAACATTTCAAATACGTTTTTAGGTTGGGCAGACTATGAAAAGCGATTACCTCACAGTTTTCATGGCGACGACAACGGAGCCCTTTATGTAAGGATTACTTATTATCGCATATGTATAACCTAAGCGGTTTTATCGAAAACAACTAAAGCAAAAGATAAATGAAACAAGGTAGAAATTAAAATAACAGTAAACTCAAACATATCTGTGCCAATAAGAAGTATAACACAGATGTTGTATTCTTGGCCATAACACTCTTTTCCTCTGACTGCAGGCGGGTGCTATACTGTCCGTAGAGCGCAAACACGCAAAGCACGCTTTTTGCTTAAAGCGCTCAATTACAATTTATTAATTTATTTGTTCCCTATGCAAATGCACACCGCACGCGCTCATCCTGAAATGAGCTTGCGCCACAAGACGACACCATCCAAGTAGGACTTTTCTGAAGTATTTTTTTCATATGACCCCAATCTTGGTTTCTTTGTTTAAAAATATTTCTAAGAGAATGACAATATTTTTAACAGATCTATAGGAAAGTGCTTTCTGTTTTTGTATGATCAAATGAAGATAGCCCAGATTACAGTAAAAACGAAATTAGTTCGAAGAAATTGCATGG